GAATTTTTTAGCTAAGTACATCAAATCGTTTGCATTATTAACTTGGTCAGAGCCCTGGCAAGAGCAGCAGTACCTTCTGGTAAAGGGATGATAGTGTTCATTGTTTCCTACTTCAAGAAACTCAGTCTGGTGAGGGATGTTGTGAAGTAGGATCATGTTTTGAACCAGTGAGGATCAACTCAGCTCTATCTTATGGGTCATACTTGCACCTCGAAACACCCCCTACCTCCGCAGCCACGTGGTGTGCTGAGATCAGAAGTATCTGTCAGTGAGGAAAGTGAGGTACAAACACCACAGTTCAGGAAACTCTGGTGCTGGGTGCCAGGATGATTCCAAATGTAGTGCCAGGGGTCACTGGCAAAAACAAACTTTGTGCAAACAGCAAAACTACTATCTCCTCTGCTGCCTCTGAACTGTTTCTTCCAACCTCTCTGTTCCAGACTCCTCTTCTGCTGGGAGTGACATAGGAGATAGTGATGGAATCAGTGACACATCAGAGCTGACCTGGCCTCCTGCCCTGTCTGCCAAGGTTTTGTGCAGAGCAACACAATCCGAAGAAAGGATTCCTCAGCCTACATCTCTCACCTGCCTGTCCTGCAGCAGGGGTACCTGGCTGCTTGTGCCCCACAGGGCAACCTGCTGTGGCAAGTGCTCATGTAAAGGGGAAAACTGACAACAGAAGCTGGTGATCTCCCAGTGGCTGGGGAATAATTTCCCAGTTTAAATCTTTGGTATTGTTTATTAAGCAGTAATTGATGAATCTGCTGCAACAAATAGGTGGAAATTCTTCTTGGCTGAAATGAAACACTGCACCTTAAATGAATATTAATGCACAGTCTAGCCTCTTCTGTAGTCTTCATGCACATGGCTCCTGCTCCTCTTATTAGGCACAGACACTAACAGGGGAACAGGGATGCAAGCGGCCAGACTGCAGGTGAATGTGAAAAGTAGCCCCTTGGCTCCCTGCTGCTGCACTCTACAGAGTGAGGTAGAAACCAGGCAGAAAATCCAGATCGGGATCACAGTCTAGAGCATTACCTCCCAAAACAGGCAGAAAACTGGGGTTTTAATTTAGGCCCATCCCTAGGTGAAAGCTGGTAAATATATCATGAGTGCAGGGGACAGGAAAGGGGGTGACAAGCTGTGTTTATCATAGTTAAACAGATAAACTGACACCAAACCCTTAACGGACTCCAGTGTTTTCTGCCAGCAGTGATGAGATATGAATTGAGTGAATAATATCAAAAAATTGCCGAACAGGGTTTCATGCAGGATGGAAACACTCATACCTTCAAACCCCAGGGGAGTTGGGTCACTCTTTATTTCATGTCTCTTGACTTTAACTGCAGGAACAAGGGGACCTGTGTGAAGTTTGCAGAGTCACAAGGCTGTAAATATTGTTAAAGGAGAAACTTGCTTTTCTATTTCCTGGAAACTCTATCTGCCTAATACTTTCTGTTTCACCCAGAAAAATGACCAACCCCTAAATTCTAGGTGGTGAAGATAAAGGCTTTTGTGATGCGGATAGGAAACAGACCCGTTTTTTCAAAAGACATTAAGACATAGCAAATGTGTCTTCTTCCCATCAGGTTTCCACAGATGTTTTCTCTCACTCCTGTCCAGGAGATGGCACTAACGCAGGCAGACTCACCACCTCAGCTCTACCCATGGGGCTGGCAGGGAAGAGCCCACAAAAGCCAACACTTAGGCCCCATAGCAGTGGAGGGCACCTGTCCTGTGTCCTGACTCCAGGTGTGGAGGGCTGGTGATGTGACGGAGCTGAACTGTCAGCAGTGAGGATCAGCACGCTGCAGCATGCCGTACCCTTGAATGTGATGATCCAAACACCCTGGCTAGACCTGCATTGGGCTGATGCTGAGACAAGACTCAGGCTTCAGTTCTTTTGTCATCTGAACTATTTTCCTAAAGCAGTAAATAAAACGCTTAATGGAAAAGCACTGATATTTTTCCCCAGCTTTTAAATAATTATGAAGGTAGTTTTCTCAGCATTCCAAGAAATTGCCAACAGTCTTGTGGTGGACAGGATCCTAGGACAGGATTTTTTTATATGAAACTGTAATGAATTTTCAATTTCATTGTAATTGACCCATGCTTTCTTTGATAAACCACACTGAAAAAACAACCTTTGGTTGCCCATTCTCTCTGTTCATATGTGCTTCTTTCTGTTTCCCAGCTTTGTAGATAAATACTAGGAAATAACTCAGTCTTCCCATAACTTAGTAACTGATCATGTATTTCTGAAGTTGTTGCCATGGACAGAAAGCTGTAAGAATCTCTTCTCCTATGCTATGCCCATCATTTCCATGTGGTGATGTTTTAGTGTTATGGTCTAAGGAGGCTGGCAATGAAACATTTGTAGTTAGCAGTAATATCACATCCTTCCTCTGCCAATAAACCCCACCACGCTCTCATCTCATGACAGCCTCATTGCACAGTCAGGGGTATGGTTCATATCCCTCACAACCATTCAGAGTGCACTGAACACTGTGCAACCTTCTTCTGACAAATATATAGCAAAGATTTTTATACCAATGAATTCACCTGGTTTTCCTGCTATTTTGGTTTGTGAATTGCCCTGCAAATCTTAAACTTGCAAATCAGTTCCTTCATTCCAGGAATTGCCAAGACAGTATTATTCAGAATTGGATGTAAGGCCATATGTTCTGTTCTCAAAAGTAACTCTGACACATAGGCATATGTGCCTACAATCTTACGGATTTTCAACACAACCAGCTTGCCCAAACGCACGCATTGCTTTTGCACTTAAAAGTAGGCACTAGTGCAGTAACTTAAATTTTGTAGAAGTGCCTTTTCTCAAAATAGTTACAGCTCAAAAATCAAACTCTCGTAAGTTCTCACAAAAACTGCACAGACTTCAGTGCATACTGGGCACCTAGCTCCCTTACACGTCTGAAAATTTCCTTGCAAATGTAATTTCTAATTATAACTATGATTATGCTAAATACGCTTAAAACTGGCATCTATTGCTACTCCATTTTTGGCTTGATTTCAGGCTTTGTTACCATCTGATATCTGCTATGCGATGAGGAGATTCTCTCCATCTTGAAAACAAAAACCCTAAAAAGGTTTAAGGAATCAGAGAAATAATTTCTACTGAATTTCAGTTATTCCAAACCAGGGAGAAGTTGGAAACCTAACCCCACATCAGCCAAAAATTAATCCAGTTTCCATGGAAACCAGCACCACTCTTTGAAGGCTATCGTGGAGAAACTGAGAAGAGTCACTATATATGCTGGCAACACACCTTGATATACATTCAAAATGTCTCGGCCTGCCCCCCTGCAGGTGTCATACTGGTCCTGACTCTTCTTCTAATGGAACCTCCTGTTTTTGTAAAAATTGACATGACTGTACCTTTGGTCACAGCAGAAGCATTAACTGTGGTGCTGATGGAGGAGGCTAGGGAGAAGCGACGGGTAACTTCTCTTTCCTTAGATTCTGGATCTGGGAGAACAGACAGATGCAATGCAGGGCAGGATTAGAGGTTAATAAGCACTGAGGGTTAAAGATGTCCAAAGCAAAGCAGCAGCTGGAAAAGGGTAAATAAAAGGTAGGTTGCTCCTCTAAAACAGCCAGGAAAAATACCCTCCACAAAGTGAAAAGCACAGAAAGCAGTTTATATGAACATATTTTCAAAGCAGTTCCAGTTGCACCAATTTTGATAGTTCAGAAAGGAGACTTATGCCAATTAATATTTTGGCAACCAACTAGTGTCTAAGTACAGCTACGAAACACAGATAGATGAGCATGATGGTTAGAATGGTGTGTGCATCTACAGATGAGGTTTGGATTAGTTTAGACACTGAACTGCTTGTTCTCCGATGGCTGACCTGAAATACACTGAAAACCAAACATGACTGGTTTGGAGCTCACATTTGTCATTTCTAGAAGTTAACTTTGTGAATGCCTGAAAATGCTCTCTGAGCCTCCACTCGTCCCGGTGCAAATCAGCTTGGAAAAAGAGACGGCAATGGAGCTTTTTTTATTTACTCCAATTAGGAACCTGCCTTTTCTCGAAGTCTGCTCAGGAGTGAAGACACAACTTCCCCAGATTTCACTATGAGATGTGAATAGCATTTTTGGCTCAAAATGTTCCATAAACAGATCAGAGGTAAACGGACTAACTGTCAGCTAGCTTCTGAGAGCCCACGACATTTTAAGACACTTCGAGGTCATTACGCAGCTCTGAAGAGATTGTGTCCGCACATGTTCAAGCACATCAGTACCCTTCTTCCACCTACCAACTACAGCAGCACCAATATGGAGAAAAAGTTGCTTGCTCACAAACATTTCAGGAGTAACTTTGTAGTCTCTTCTGCTGAAAACACTCTTAAGCACATGCGCTGCGTTACTCAAGTGAGTATTTCCACTGAGACAGGAGTAAAGCTATCCATATGCTTCACATCTCTGTTTCAGTGAGAAAGTCAAACACTTAACTCTACCAGGACACAACCACAATTGACAATGGTATGGCTTTAAATACTCTGTTACCAGGTTTGTCAAAAACTATTTGTGATTTTTATTTTGATTTTAAAAAGAAAAATCAAAGAAATATTTATGTAAAATTTAAATAGTTGTTTCTATTTTCACTGAAAAATTTCCTGGCATAAGTGAAGTTACTTTCTCTTTCTAGCACACGCTGACATGCTTTGCTGAATCTTAGCCCAGATGTTTCTAGATGGTGCCCATGATTCAGAGGGACTTTTCTATTCCAGTTGTCTGCTTTCTCTTACCATGTCTATCTTCCTTTCTCTCTCTCTTTTTTTTTTTTTTCATGGTTAACTGGCATACAGCCCTGGAGCGAAACAAGTTTCAGGTGATTTTATATTTCAGGCTTAAATATCCTGTGCAGAACTGTACTACTGTGAAAATCTTAAAATTCTTTACCATTGCTCATCTTCACGTTTCCTTATTTTAATGTTCAGTCACACAACACTTCCCTTTACTTTTTTTTTTTTTCCCATAGTTATGCCTAGTAAATGTCACTTTCACTACATGTTTCCAGTAAGGCAGAATTTAACGTGACTGGTTGAACTGCAATTCCTATAATGTTTTATTATGCCAAAATATTAGGAAACCATATTTTATGGTATTCTGTGCAATTTTAACTGTAGATTGGATCCTGTGAAAAGGCTGTAAATTCTGTATCTGCCGATGCACTTCCTTATCAATTTACTCATAAAAGCACATACATTCAAGTACATCCTCATTCACACTGCCTAAAAAGCTGAAGAGAAATGAGAGGTTAAACTCTGCTCTCAGTGATAATCACCATGGAATGACTCCACATCTAGGCTGCTGTAACTGCCCGCATTAAAATACAAAGAAAATTTCAGTTATGGTGTTGGGCTGCATTTACACCACATCATGCAGCTCTTGGAGACCCTGTGCCAGCTCCAAGGACTATGAGTTTGGTTCTGCAAACCAGGACAGCTAATGCTGACCTAAGGGTGCGGGAAATGCAGAGTGCTACGAGTGTGGACTTTGACACACCCTGGTGCCAGTTCTGGGGGGGTCTCTTGGGTGTCTCTGCACTGGTGGAGTGCAGGATGGGAAAGTTTCTCCTCCAGACATCAGCATTTCTTTGGCCAAAACACCAAGGTGCTTACATACAATGTTTTCTACCCTATGATATCCAGTCTGGGCAGACGGTGCAGCAATGCTTTGAGCATTCACGTTCCACTGCCAGTTGCTATCCATCAGGCAATCTTGTTTTCCCCCTAGTTAGTATTGTTATTTTATTGTTTAAACCTTCCCTTTTGTGTACCCTGGACATGAACAGACACAGTGGGTCTGAACCAAAGTATGCTCAGCTCAGTGTGTCATCTCCTGCCCCAGCCAGTAATGAACCGTTAGACAAAGCAGTGAAGAACAGGACAAGCTTACTGCAGTCACTTCCCTGTTCCCTTCTCAGAGCTTCTGATCTGCCTTAACAGCCAGTCCACACAGTGCTCACACTGCTTGGCGTTGCCCCTGCCTGCAGGAATGACCACGCTCTGCAGATCGTCCAGCCTGTTTGCCAGCTGGTTTCCTCTAGGCCCAGACCAGATTAGTAACTGAACAGCACAACGAAGTGAAATGGGACATCGCGTAATGGAGACGTTCCACAGGAATCTCAAGTAACTAGACCCAGCAAGGCTCTGAGCTGAGAGTGCCTGCAGCCCAGGGGGGATGAGCTCTTCTCAGCTGTGCCTTGCTGTCTCTTGCTGTCTGCAACACTGAATGCAATGAGAGACATTTCACAAGACAAGAAAAATTCAGATAAAAGAGCAAAAGAGGCCCAAACCAAAATTGTGGAGCCAAACTCACCCGAACTGCAGCATTATCCTGCATTTCTGAAATCTATGTTTTGTAACTGATTTCTCCAAGTCACAGGATCTGAAAATGACTTTTTGCATTCAGAACACCGAACTGCTTTGTCCATCTTGCATCTTACTACCAAGTGCAGCCTTAACATTGCAGCCAGAATCTTATGGCCGCCCTGGCTCTTGGTGTATTTTCATCTACTTTATACCATTGTAATTTAATGTTTCTGTATTTCTCTTTTTATTCTTTCATCTTACGTCTTCCTCCTTTGACGCTGAGCCTCTCCATCACTGCACACTAACCCTTTGTCTCACAGAATAAATATAATTTATCATAATAGGAGAAAAGCCATATAATAACCATAAAAAAAGTAATTACATTATCTTTTCAGAAAGCGATTCTATATACTCATTCAATTTAATTTCTATTCACATTTCTTTCTTTCCTACGAAGTCTCTTCCTTGTGCAGGCATAACAGGAACATGCAATGCTCTCTACTCATGGATGTTAAGTGTCTTCTAAATATAGATGCACAAAGTCTCAGAGTACACCGTTTTACAGTGTCATGTAATGTAACAAAGTAGAAATTGCAATAAACCACAGATCTTCTGAATTCCGCTTCCCCAGTGTAACCACTAGGCCACGGCTGAGCAACATTTGCAAAAACAAAAAGGTCCAACCAATGCACAACTTAGCACATGAAACCCTCATGTAGCACAACACAGAGATGATACTCTTCCCTTCAAGCCGATAAATTGCTGAAAAATGTTAGATTGGTGGTTTAAAACAAGTTCACACTTTGGCCCTTGAGAAAAACTGGAAATAAACACTATTTGCCCTGTGCACCAGTAAACGACCCAATCAGTCAACTCAAAGATTGCCTTGCCAGCACTGCCATGGGAGCAATTTTTGGTAACAGCATCTTTGAGAAGAGGAGCCGTATGTGTGCATCAGACAGGAGCATTTTGGTGAGATGCGGCAGCACTTTTGGAAATAGCAATGGATGGCACTGTGGCATGGAGAGAACACTGTGGGAGTGCAGGAGACACATGGCCAGAGACCAAATGCTGCGTGGGGTGATTTTACCTTTGGGTGGAGCTCTGCGGTTGGAAAGACCTTGCAATGTGAATCGCTTTCTAGCAAGCGCTGTGCGCTCAAGGTTAAGGCTGGTGGAAGCATCAACTAGGAGAGAGAGGGAGAGGGAAGAGAAATAAGGTAGGAAGGGTCAGCTGTTCAGCTTATGGGAAAGGAAAGGTTAGCACTGGATGACAACTAAAAATAAATAAATAAATAATTTTTGATTCAGTTCAAGCCTGAGCAAGAGCTAATCAATTAGAAAGGTGACATGAGGTCAGGGTGATTAAACCAGCTGAGCCAAACAGATCCCCTGGGTTGGGTTTGGCTCACCGAGTTTTAATGGAGAACAACAACAACAAAACAAAACCAGAGCAAAACAGATGAAGGGATGTAGCTCTCATCAAAGGAAAATACAGTTTAGCAGCAAGCTCATTAAAAAGGATCTAGTGCCTTTTACTCTGAAAACACATTGTTGTGGTTGGAACAGCAAGGTTGTAGGGAGAAATAAGAGAAGAAGCCTTGCAGTGCAGGATAGCTACAGACAGCAAGTGTTGTGAGCAGCCCCATTTCTGCTATCCAGTGCTAGCGCTGAAGAGTCTGCCATCATCAGCCCCATGGCTGATACACTCTCAGCCTTACCTGCTGAAGTCTTTCTAACCACCTCCGGAGCGGGCATACAGTCACGCATTTGCTCTCATGATTTGCTGGGCTGTAAGGCATGCCATGCCAGCAAAGCTTACATGCCAGGCTCCTACATGAACAAGCCAGCCATGCCACTTGACAGTCGCCTTTGTAGAGACAAGTCACTGATGGATCTAGATCCTGAGACTTTGGGTTTGAAAGGTACTCAGTTACTCGCATTGCAGGAAACAGGCGGACCTAGATCAAACCCCCAGATCCAGTCATTCCTGCCAAACTCTGCCTCTGCCCCTTCCTTTGTGATCACGGGTAGCTAACACACAGAAGGTTTACGGCAAAGGAGCAGGAAAAAAACCATGTGTTCTGGCTGCCTGATTCTGTGTCTTAGGATTTAAACAAAAGCTTTTTCCTCCTCTGTATTTCATGTGGTGCCAACCGAAAATCATTAGAGTGACAAACAAGGACCAGAAGTACAAAGGGAACATGAAGAGACAGTGAATCCACACTGAGGACAAGCACAGACAGACAAGCTGTGCTTCCAAAGGAATGCGCATCCCATCACTTCCCGATTTGCAGCCAAGATAATCCAGGATCCGAGGTGCCTGCATGCATAGGTGGGTGTGGAATGAACAGATCTTAACAATACAGAAGTATTATGTCAGCGAGGTTCAGCTCCTGCTAGCCAGTGGCCTGACGGCAGCTGTGGCCAGGCAGGTGCCTCTGGTGAGGAACAGCTACCGAGCGGTGGTTGCAGCTGCGGGGCTGCCCACGGGTGCACTGGGAAGTATTTGGCTTTCAGACTGGCTGTGTTGGCCTGAGAGCCATTCCCTGCCAGGGCTGCTCCCACTGCGAGGCAATCTTTGTAAAGGTACTGTAGCTTACAAAGAATCCAGAAACTGGTACATAAAATATATTGACTTTCTGTTTGTGTAAAGCAGGAAACCCCACAGTATTTCATTCCCACAGAGTCATGCAGCAAGTGCAACAGTGTATGTGTGTAGGGGGTGGGTTTATATGTTAGTTCTTCAGCTATGCAATTATATCACTCCACTGAGGGACCACTTCGGATTTCACATGTCCCCACAGCTGCTAAGCACCAGCCAATGGTTAGACACTGGTCTCCAAATACACATCATCTCCACCTGAGTTATTTCAAACCTTTTCCCTCATTCTGCAGGTGTACCAATCATAGAATCATAGGTCGGAAAAGACCTCTAAGATCACCAAGTCCAATCATCCACCAACCACCACCACGCCTACTAAACCATATCCCGAAATGCCACATCTACATGTTTTTTTAAACACCTCCAGGGATGGTGACTCCACCACTTCCCCGGGCAGCCTGTTCCAATGCCTGACCGCTCTTTCAGTAAAGAATTTTTTCCTAAT